GGCCTTTAGCACAGTATCTCATAGCCAAAATGAATAATAATAATAATAATAATTTTATTATTATTTGCAGGGTTGTTAAGAAACTGCAGGTAGGGTAACTTTAGGAAATATGTTTCTGTTGGTGTTTGTTATTACAGTAAATTCCCAAGCAATTTAGGGTTTGTATTTTAACTGTTCATTGCTTGTCTTTATAAATACAGTATACTGCAGAACTGTATATAATACGATATTGCTATTAGAGGCAAGTCATCACAAGCATTGACATCCAGGCCTTTATTTCAGGAGATGTCATCTGGCATATAACTCACTTTTCATGATCTTATTTCCTTTTATGCTGAGTTCTGCAATTTGGTCACTTACCTTCTAGTAAATATTTATTTTCCATATATACAAAGAACATTTTTTGTTTTATGAAAATAAACTTCTATATAAGATAATTGCCTATCAGTTTGTGCTTCTGGATGTTTCTGGGAAATTATTTACAAACAGGCAAAGACACATAGGCTGCAGTGAGCAAAGGTTTGTGATTGTTAGCTGATTTGGGTTTCTCATGTGAAATTGGAAGATGGCCAGGGAATGGTGCAATACATGGAAAGATGTAGAACTGAAACAAAAAGCAGAAAGTCTGGAAATAAAGGAGGGCAACAATGTTCAGTGAGCAGCTTTGTGAATGTATTCCCTAAATTTTACTCCAAATTAAAACTCTTATTCTTGCTGCTTGTCCTAAGCATTATTTTTAATGCGGCTATATCAAGCATACATTATTTGATTGTGTAAATAATTGATTTTAATTGTAAATTGTCTTTATTAATTATGGTAACCATACAATTGTACATTATTTAGAAACTGCATAAAGTGTATATGGGACACTTGATTTAAATTTCTGATTAAGAATGAGCTCCCTTTTTATAATTATTTAAATTGCATTTAGTGAAAGTGTGTAAGCATGGTTTTAACCACTCTTCCACATACATATTTTGAAAATGGATAGGAAAAATAACACAGGAGATTGCTTTAACTGAATTAATCGCTGTAATGGTTTGAGTGTTGGGTTAGGACTTCAAGAGACCAGGGTTTGAATCCCTGGTTGAGAGAGTATACCTTGATCAAGTCATACCCCCTCAACCTCAGAGGAGGGCAATAGCAAACTCTTTAGAACAGATCCTGCCAAGAAAACCTTATGATAGACTTGTCTTTGGGTTGCTATCAATCATAAATGACTTGAAGGCACACAACAAGAACAGCAACTGCCTTAATTTCCCAGCATATATAAAGACACTTAGTTTTCTTGGAGAGATGTCTGTAGATATGATATAGCTTGTAACATTTGTTAATGAGCTCTAGTATTTGTGTGTGCATATATGCGCTGTTGTGCTGAAAGTGACAGGAAACACGGTTTTTAAATTGCATGTCAGTAAACCAAGGACAGTTGTCTTTTCTCTTTCTCCCTCCTCCCTCTAGTTTTATCATTTTCTTAAAGGCAATTTCATTCTTATTACTGCTTTTTGATTGTCAGGGAGTCATAGTGCATAGTACAAATAGAACACATTGTTCTGTTTCAATGTGTAAAGTCATGTAGAGAATCCATGGTAGAACTGAGAGTTCACTTACTGAAATGATTTAAAAGGATAAGATGTCTCTATTATTTATGTATGAGTTACATTTATATCTTCCCTTTCCTTTAGTGGGTTCCAAGTAGGACACATGGATCTCATACTACCCACTTTGTTCTTATAAGAACCTTGTGATCTAAACCAGGCTGAAAGGGGATGACTGTCCCAGTGGTCCCCAATGTATGCCACAGCTCATTGGAGACTAAAGTTTTCTAAAACACAGCCTGGCATTTGTAAGAATTGTACCACACTGGCTTTCTTGTCACTTACTGGAATATCCAGTGGATATTATTAATGCAGCAGCTTTATTGACGTGTTTAGCTGGTGTGAAGCTGAGCAGTAGTTGGATAGGGAGTGAATCCCAGGTAAGATTAGTGTAAACATACACATTTTTTGAAATATTGATTTTTAGAATCTGAAGCCTACAGCTGAGATGGCTTGCTGTCTCCATACTATTGGGTTGCCTTCAAGCATCTGTTTAGCCAATATTAGATGCACCGTTCCATATCAGAATGATCATTCTGGTCAGTTTTTAGAAGACATCTCTTATCTCTCTCAAAATGATTGTGGAAACCATTCTTCTCTTTCTTATTTCAACTCAAAGCCTATTCTAAATTGAACCACATTAATCTGATTCTGTCAGGAGTTATCTATGAGAGTCATTCAAATAGTAACACCCCACATTTGTGTTCTCAGCCATTAAAAAAGATAGAAAATGAGAGTGTGGGGGACATCCATAAACATTTGTGTGCAGTGTGTGGGAGCTGGGCAATAGATTTTCATAAGCATTGGCTGACTTTTTGTCTCTAGCTCAAAATTCTGCAGCCAGCTTTCATCATCTGTAACGATCCGGAACAAAAAGGCCACCGCCTTGACATCACAGTTCTCCCACAATTCAGAAGAATTGCGGTCTGCTGTGAGATTTTGCAGAACCCATCTTGCGCAGATTTTCAAATATCCGAGAATCTCAATAATTGAATACACACTTCCAATGCTTACAGACAGCCATAGGGCCAATTGCCATGTTGTTATATGTCAATCTGCACAAATATTGGCATCCACATGGTTCAACATGTCTGGAGTGCTATCTGTGGTAGGACATCCAGCACACAGCAGAACATGGAGCTCATTTTCTGTACTTCCTGATGCTTTAGCTCTCTTAGTGCCCCGCCCAACAGTGCTCCTGCCGACTGTACAACTCCCATACATGGCATATAGACATTTGTGGATGTTCACCATTCTTTCATTTTTGTGAACCAAAAATTCAATTACATCTCATTGATTGTAACAGATTCTGCAACAGATATTTCATAGTATCATAGCGTTGGAAGATACCTCGTGGGCCATCCAGACCAACCCCCTGCCAAAAAGCAGGAAAGTGCATTCAAAGCACCTCCGACAGATGACCATCCAGCAATTTTTAACAGTTCACTATTGTTCCGCAATCTCTCGGAATGTCCTGAAACTCAGTACATGTGTGGCAAAATCATCGCATATCAAGCATGCAAAAGTGTATTTTTCTATCTTTGTTAATGGCTGAGAAAACAAATTTTGGGCATTATTTTTTGATCAAGCTTCATCAAATTTCAGGGTCCTTCAGTCTGTGGTAGAATCTGCACAATGGTATGATCTCAAGCTGTCCCTAATCTGATTTAGTTTAGATTTTATTTATTATGCCACAGTCATGTTTTTCTAGTCAGCAGTGTACCTTGTGACTTAATGACTTCAGTGGAACTTGCTTTTTTGAGTCCCACTTTTGATTTGTGAGTAAAAGGGGCAAGAGAGGGACAAGGATTCTCATCATGCTGCTGTCAAATGGTGGGAAGGAGTGTATTAGGTTGTCTATGTTGGAAGACCTCTGGATCCTTGCAAATGTGGCAGTGGAAGGCTCTGACTCACTGAAAGCAGCAAGAACTGCCAGTGGCTTTCGTGAAGCCAGCCAGCTCTTACTCCTGCTGAATCACCCCAAAGCAATAACACCTTTGTACCTGCCTTCAATTTGTCCTTGCCTGGGAATGTATACACAAACACACATACACACTGATCGGTCTGAGGAAATAGGGCTTACCATCTCAGTGCCGGTGGGCTCACCATCTCAGTGCCGGTGGGTTCATGTAATGCCTGTATCTTCCATCTATTACTCAGTTTAAGTTAATCATATATTACAATGGCTTAAAACACATAGCTACATTTTTGAACTTCCTGCTCCCTAGCCCCATTTTTTTAAAAAAACTTTTTACCCTGAAGAAGAGGTTGAGGTAAATAAAAATTTTGCAGACATTTGCAGAATTGTAATCAATAAAGGCCTTGACTACCTGCAGAGTTTATATTTTGTTTTACTTTATACAACCCATAGTTTAATTAATTCCAAAAACAGATCTCTGAAACAGGCTAAACCAGTTAAATTTAAAATACACTGGCAAAGAGATACCTTGAACTGCTGCCAAACAGTCTACAGTATTTCACCACATTCATGAGAAAGGTGTTCCATAGTTGAGATACCCAAATTGAGAAAGGTCTCTCATTTGCCAGTATACAGGATACTTCAAGAAGAGCCTCACTTCATTATCTTAAGCTATGAGTAAGCTGACACAGAAAGACATGGGTCCTGACCAATTATGCTTTTTTATATATATATATATAAAAGGGATCAATCATGTTGAAATGTCACATGTTTGTTCTTGCAAAATGTCAGTTATATACTAGAGAATGCATGGTATTAGCATATCTTCTTTTGTCCGACTGTTCCAAATTGAATTGTCTGCACTTTGAAAATGCACAGCCTTCTGTCTCCAGATGATTCATGCATGGATTTATGCAAGATGCTAATTAACAGCTTAAAGTAACTATTTTCTATATTTAATTTTAGATTTTTATGTAACAATGCTCAGGTCTTTGGGTTTTATTGATTTTTTTGCATGGGTTTTTCATTCCATTGTAGATTTAGACTTGCAGAATGGGCATATAAGGTGCTTTACTAAAGCTATAATTGCTGCACAACTACTTTTACATCATTCTTTCCTCCTTTAGCATATCATACTGAAGTCTAGTAATTAATCACTGTAGGAGAAAAAACCCCCGATGTATGCATTTTTTAGTTAACTATTGCTATACTTCCTTTCTATTGTTGTTATTTTGGGCCTTCATCATGACAAGTTTTTTTTAAACTCATCCTTCTCTTTTTTGTAAAGCATATTGAAAAACTGTTTTAATCATCTTTTGTGATTTTAAATTAAACAAACCTTATTCAGATTTGAGATACAAAAGTTGGTCTTGCTTTGGTTCTGTTATCTCATGTTGAGCAAAGCACAGTACATGATCTCACAATTACAATTCTCTGTTTTATAATTTTATTCCATGTTAACTGTGCTTGTTTGTGTTCGACAGACATATGCAGGGTATGTCGGTCTGAAGGAACTCCAGAAAAGCCTCTCTATCATCCGTGTGTATGCACTGGCAGTATTAAATTTATCCATCAAGAATGGTAAGTTTTTCTTCCTGTTATGCTCAGTGGTGCATGCGGCTTCACTTATGGACATTGAGTGGTTTCACAATTGTATAAAGAAACAAAATTTCATTACTTTCCAACTGACTTTGCATATTAGTGCTAGTGATTGTTAACTTTTTAATGTTTTAATAAGGTTTCACATGTACATGCTTTAAATACCAGGGACATCACTAGATGTGAAGAGAAAATAAAAACAGTTTATAGTAGTCTAATCTTAGTATGGTTAATGGAATTACCTAAAAAGATGGTAAAATTCTTACATAATTACTTGATATTATTGATCAACAGTGGGTTTGCTTTTGAAGACATTTTTATACAGTAATGTTGTGGTTTTTTTTAAAAAAAAATGCTGTGTATTATATTAATTTTTTTTGTCTTATTGATACAGTTGCTTTTGTCAGAATCTGGAATAACTTTTGCATGCATGCATATTTTGCCTTTATCATGTAATGCCCCTCTGGTGGATCGATCAGGGATAGGATTCAAATTGTTTTAATGCAAGCAAATGGCAGCAACTAGAATGAGATTAATTAAAATAGGAATAACCACTGTGCATGTAGGTTTTACCCTTTATGTTTGGATGCTTCACCTTTAAAAAAAAAAAACCAAACAAACTTATATGTGGCTTTTTGGCCCTAGTTGGTGTTGAAGAAAATACGTTTTATAACTGAAGATCAATATTATTGATCTGTAATGCAATAAAATAAAAAACTTTACAGACATTACCTCTTTTGTTCTCTTCTCAAATATTCGAATGACAGTTCTTGTTTAAAGGTATATCTTGTTGAAGTTTCCTAATTTCTTCTGTTCAAAAATGTCTTGCTTTTACAGCTGCACCAGTATGATTGTTATCTTTTATTGCAGCTTAGTTCAGTGGCTCAAACACAGCAGAAAAGAATACTGTGAATTATGTAAACACAGATTTGCTTTCACACCAAGTAAGTATATGACATGACTTTATATCATGTTTACATTAAATAGTTTATTATGGTTAATTTCATGTACAAAGGCTCTATAACTGGATTAGGGCCAAGTTTACCTTCAGAAGATGGAATACTACCATATTTAAGCCATCTCTGGTGTTGCATACTAAATGCTCGATTACAACCATTACTACAGTCTCTTGAAAATAATTGAAATCAGTCAAGCAGCATGTAAACAGTATCTTGCTATTTTGTTTGTATTTTCAAACAGTATTTATGTTACTAGCAAATGTGTGAATTCAACCTTTTGATAATGACTTTTTAAACATAGAACAACAGAAAAGGGTTTACATTGATGGATAAGTTACCCAAAATAGCAACAAGCAAGTTGACAAAAAGGCAGCTATGACTGTGTTCTCTGTAATAAGCAGCATTTGATAGAAACATCCAATCATGGAGTTGGACAAGACCACAAGGGCCATCCAGTCCAACCTCCTGCCATACAGAAACACACAAGCATAGCATTCCCAATAGGCTGGCCATCCAACTTTTTGTGTGTATATATATATATATATATTAAAAAACTCCAAAAAGGAGACTCCACCACACTTCAAGGTAGCATATTCCCTTTCCAAACAGCTCTTGCCATCAGTAGGCTCTTTCTGATATTTAGGTGGAATCTCTTTTCCTATAGTTTGAATCTATTGCTTCATGCCATAGTCTCTGGAGCGGCAGAAAACAAACTTCCTCCCTCCTCAATATGATATCCTGTCAACAGGGCTATCATGTGTCCTCTTAACCTTTCCTTCTCCAGACTAAACATGCCTAGCTCACAGAGCCGCTCCTCACGTAGCATGGTGTCCATACCATTGTGGAAATGTTACTGCGGTTAGATTCTTACTTTGGCAGCTGTAGGACTTTATTGTATCATGGGAGAATTAAGCAGACCTTTTGTGGCCAAGGACAGAATCAACCTGCTTTTATAGAACAGGTTGAGTGTTCATACTACGAGATCAGTATGCTGAACCTGCAGGCTCTTGGTTGAGAATGGCTTTGCAGACGCAACACCATTTTAGAGGCAGCTGTTCCTCCAACTCTGAGACCATTCAGACAAAACTGTAATATTGTGATCCTATGCTCTAATTTGTAAAATCCTTCCTGCTCTTCTACAAAATTGAGTATGTGAATGGTTGTTAAAGTCAATAGGCCAGTGATAGAGCATTTGCTTAGCTAGCAGAAGCTTCCAGGTTTAATTCTATATCTCTAGTAGGAATAAAAGAGACTCCTCTGTGATACTCTGGAAGCCCATTGTTAATTATTGTAACTAATATTGATGGACCAGTAGTAAGTGAATTTCCTATCTTTTTGCTCTAATTACAAATTGCTAAATGAAAAACCTTTTTCTAGTGTTTTCCTACTTGAATCTGTTAGGGTTTCAAATTGTTTTCTTTCTATTTTTGTTCTCCCTTTTCTTAGTTTATTCCCCAGATATGCCTTCCCGGCTTCCAATCCAAGACATATTTGCTGGACTAGTTACAAGTATTGGCACGGCAATACGATACTGGTTTCACTATACGCTTGTGGCCTTTGCATGGTTGGGAGTTGTACCTCTTACAGCATGTAAGTATTTCATTTTTTTTCTTGTTAGTGGACACCTAGATTCTGGTTATAACCAGGGTGCAATCACTGATTATCAAATAATCAACTATCAAACCTAGATGCAGACTAGTTCAAAGGTGATTCTGGGACATTGCAGATGTCTGTGCTTGCACAGAGAACAGTGGCACACTTATAAACCTGTCACTCAGGCTTCTGAGGCACTATAGAATTCATAGCACGTTTACGTCTCTTCTTTTTTTTTTTGCTGGAGTTGTAGATAGTGGCACAGAGATGAAAGTTATGCATGTAGAGAGAGAGTAGCAAACTCCTTACATACATTGTGGCCCACACAAGCTTAACAAATTATGAGATGGAGAGGGGTTACAGTCTAACATTAGATTTTTAAAAGTTGCTGAGGGTTAGATAATTTGATTCTTGAATTCTCTCTGCATATTGCTTAGGAAATGTCTGAGATAATATTGTTGCCATTATGAAATAATGAAAGTATTTTCAAAAATTTGATTGAATGTTTTCCCTTCCCTTTGAATTAGTATGCAGATGCAAATTCTCACAGATCTTTTGTTTATTAATTAACAACCTCATATGATGAAGTTTGGAATGTCTGGCACATTTCCTTTATCTTATAAGTTGAATTTGGAACATGTCAGAATTGGACTGCAGGGAAATATAGCCCTTCTGCACTTTGTATTTTCCAGCATGCCATGTTTTGTTGCATTTGACAATTTTAGAATCCAACTTTAGTGGTCGGATATTGTTGATTGCATTGTGATTATTTATTCTTTAGGCCGCATCTACAAGTGCTTGTTTACTGGCTCTGTGAGCTCACTACTGACACTGCCGTTAGATATGCTTTCAACGTAAGTATAGTCTAACTAATATGAACTTTTCTCTGCGGTGCCTCTCAAGGAATCACTGATTTTCTTCTGTGTTGATTGCTGTTGCATTTTCTTGAATGTATGGAAATTAATGCTACATATTCCAATTTATGGTCCATTACTACTATTCTAAAAGTATGCGTGAAATACTTGATGATTGAGTAGGGTAATCAGGGAATAGTGTTTCAACTGTGTACTTTACTGAGTAATAAGAAAATGATCGCATTGTGAAGGAGTGCAATTTTACAATTGAATTTTAAATTTCTAGCAAGTGGTGGTAATGATAATATTCATAAAATGTAAGATTTAACATTTTGGGTAATTTGATTGGGCAATTTGATTACAGCTGCACTACTAATCAGCATATTAGTAGTGCAGCTGTAATTGAGAGAATGGAGAGAAACTAGACAGTAACTCTATGCCAGTGGTTCTCAACCTGTGGGTCCCCAGATATTTTTGCCTTCAACTCCCAGAAATCCCAACAGTTTGTACATTGGCTGAGATTTCTGGGCGTTGTAGGCCAAAACACCTGGGGACCCATGGGTTGAGAACCACTGCTCTATGCAGTATTTAAAACAACAGTTTTATTTGGTTGGTAAACAGTTTGATACAACTTAAGATGTAGGTTTGAAATAATTGCAGGCTTCCAAGTATATTATTATAGAAGGTATTCTATCTGTCAAAAAAAAATCTGGTGGGCTTTACCATGAGCTAAAGTGTCTTCTGGTTCTGTAAGTCAAGAGCAATGTTTGCAGTGGGAGCAGTTGTGATAGCAGGCTTATATAATGTGTTGGCTATCTCTTTCATAGAGAGAACTTACTGGCAGACTGTTTGCAAGGTTGTTTTGTGGTGACATGCACACTCTGCGCATTTATCAGTCTTGTCTGGTTACGTGAACAAATTGTCCATGGAGGAGCACCGCAGTGGCTGGAACAAAATCAGCAGCAAGCCATCAATGATGTTGGGCAACCAAATGAGGTAATATGCCCTTCAGTTTGTCAGTTGTAATTTAGCTTGAATAATTTTCTGTTGCATATTAGTTTGCTTTCTCTCTTGTCTGTCCTGCAGTTTGGAACTGCTTATAAAATTAATCAAATTAATAGAGTGGGGAGGGAGAGATTGTGCACATCTGGCAAAAATGCTTCTTTGTGTTTTAATTATCAGGTTTCTTAGAACAGTTTGTTTTGAATGTTCTAACCATAATTTAAAGTTTCAGAAATGAGTTTCGACAATTCTTACCATCCATTTTCTCTTGCAACAAAACAAAGATGAGTTTGGAAGCTGCCACTTACATTTTAGATAAAGTATGAGCGGTTGTGGTATGAGAATTCAAGTGAGAGTTGGTTACTTTATAAAGAAAACAAGCCAGTTAAAATTTTTGCTGCTTGTTTCAAATAACTATAGTAGGAATTGCACATAAATTATAAATGTTATAACAAAGTCCAATTAACAAAAAATAGGGGTAAACATTTCAGAACCCTTCCTTGTGGTCATGCAAAACAGTTAACAGAAGAACCCAAGGCTAAAGCTTACTGTGTAAGGCTAGTAAGGCTGAACCAGTGTCATAGTATTTGCAAAATTGTGTACATACAGCTGTGATACAAATTGCTACAGAAGGTTAGGATAGCTTAGTGTCCTTTAATACAATTCTGTTTCTGGATGATGCAGCTTGCAAGATGCTCTCTTCTGTTCAGGATTTCCTTGTTACTTATGTTGCTTTAGGGCAGTGGTTCTTAACCTGTGGGTCCTCAGATGTTTTGGCCTTCAACTTCCAGAAATCCTAACAGCTGGTAAACTGGTTAGGATTTCTGGGAGTTATAGGCCAAAATACCTGGGAACCTACAGATTGAGATCCACTGCTTTAGGGAGTTAAGTTGGATGAAAAGGAAATCAGGTTGCTTTTGAATGCTGGATGTACTAATTGGGAAGAGAACCCTAAAGCACACTTAAAACCAACTTGTTTTACAATGTGTCTGGTACAATTTGTTGGAATATGAAGTTGTCACGTATGCATCAGTTTAGGAATGTAATTTACACATATACTGTTTGTTTATATTTTGGGATTAAAAAGCAAGAAAATCAATTGAATGGTTTACTAATGTTCAAAAGGTACAGTGATAATTTATGTCTCTGGAGACATTTCTTATAGCACAACTCTTTAGTTCAGCTGCATTTGTCTTGATTTATGCCCTGCAGGCTCAAGGTGCTGGAAACGGCGGAGCTGAAAATGCTGCACCTGACCAGCCTGTGGATCAGCCTGCTGAGAATGCTGTTGTAGGGGAAAATCCAGAAATCCAAGAAGAACAACCAGATGAAGAAGAGGAAGACAATGAAGATGAAGAAGATGTTGTAGTAGAAGATGCAGCAGATGCAAACAATGGAGCTCAAGGTATATTAGTTACTGTTTAGCAACAATATCAGTGCTACGTTTTAGAACAGTTGAATTGCACTTTGATGGATTCAATTTCAAGCTTGTATTAATTGAAATAGCATTCTGTTTCCTGGGCATTTCTGAATACTGATTGTCATACTTAAGCCAAATAAAATGGTAGCTATATATTTTTGTGTTGACAACCTGTAAGCATCTGGCTGAATATTGGAAACATCTGGTCTTATTTCATTATTGGTACAACACTGTGTATTGTAATATGGGGCCCTGTCAAATTGTAATGGATTACTATTCTGGTAGAACTTTTCTCTAGCCATCTTATTTTTTTTCTTTGATTTGATAAGATGACATGAACTGGAATGCTTTGGAATGGGATCGAGCTGCAGAAGAACTCACATGGGAAAGAGTGAGTAAAGCTTATGTGTCTCAAGGGCTGCTTATTCTTAGGCCTGCAAACCTGGCAACCATTGATAGTTTCCTATTCTCATCCTCACATTGTATTCTCCTCTTCATATTGGTCAGTTTATGCATTACATAATCACACATGATAACAGTGATATTTTTAACAAGAGAAAAATGATTTGGAGATGGGTTGATTAGGATTGGTGAACAAAGATGAAACATGCATTATGAAAAGACTACTTGTACAGGAAAATTTGGAGCAGGGAAATAGTAAATACCATAAGGTTTAAGTATTCCTTCTACTGATCATTTCTCTTGAAGCAGTTAGTCCTGCTGTTGTGTTTTTAAGGCTTCAGCTTGCTAGTTAGATGTGTTTTCATGTTACACCTAGTCCAGTCCTCTTAGCTCTGGCAGACGTTTCTACCTTGAGCCTGCCTACTCCTGTCATATTCTGAGTGGGACTCCTGATCCCATAAAAAAGGAAGCGGCTGTGTTGGATCCCATGCTGTCCTAGAGCAGTGGTTCCCAACCTGTGGTCCATGGACCACCAGTGGTCCGCAAGCACTAAAATATGGTCCCTGAGAGAAACTGATTTTTTTCAAAATCCTCTTATAGTGCTGAGGCTTATTAAATGTGGTTTTCTGTGCTTGAGCAGATGGTGACTACTGGATGGCATATGTTCTGTATCAGAAACTAGAGCTGGTGTGGTCTATCCAATGCAATTTTTTGAATCAGTACCTCAAATAACCGAACAGAATCTAAAGTTGACCAAAAACCAATTCGTAACCCTTTTGGTATCAGTATTGGAGAGTGGTCCCTGGTCAAAAAAAAAAAAAAAAGATTGGGAACCTCTATCCTAAAGTGTTCTCTAATACTCAACAAAAAAGGAATACAGTAGGAAGGAACAGGAAATGTTGTTATTTCTTAACTTGGCTTGTGTTTCTCTGGATCCTATGTATTGTAAAAGCTGCAGGGAGTAGTAGTTACTTGAGGCTTAAGAGACCTTTGAAACTTCTGGGCATGTAAAAACTGTTGATTACTCATTGCAGAATTTATCTCTTGTTTCTAGATGCTTGGGCTTGATGGATCCCTAGTCTTTCTAGTAAGTGAAGTTTCTTTATATTAAAACAGTTCTTTATAATTATATCTTGCACTATCCCTTTGTATTTTTATAGCTAACAAGTAAAATCCAAATATGTTAAATCTGGAAACTTTCAACACCTTATTTTAGTGTATCACCTAAAATTTTATGTCAGCTGAAATTACCACTTACCTTTGCTTTATTAGCATTTGTTTGGCGACCAGGAATGTGAGCATGCAAGCCCTTGTAACAAAGGTTGACCCTCGTTTTTATTTTTAGGTTTTTTATTTTGGAAGTACCAATATCTCATTACATATAATTCAGGAAAGAAGTAGGAGAGGAATTGATTAGAAAATGAGAAACTCAGGTTATTTATCAGGTACTTTTAATACTTTGATTCCTAATTTCACTTCTTTCCTCCTTCCCTCAGGAACATGTATTCTGGGTGGTGTCATTAAATACACTATTCATACTTGTGTTTGGTAAGTAACAGTGTTTTTAGTTTTTTTTCCAGATATTGTTGTGACAGGGATCTAACTCACAGCAGACATGTATGAATTTCAGGAGAAGAAAGATTTTTTTGAAGCAATGATCACAGTTCCTTTAGCACTATTGGAAGAACCTTGATATTTAAAAAGTAATGACACAATAAATCAGATTTCAGATATCTTTTCTTATATTTCACATGGAGGAGCCTAGAAGAAGTTAGTGATAAATGTTATACAACCTAGCACTACTTCAATATATTTTGCAAATGTGTTGTAGAGGAACCTGAGGAAACAAAAATGTTTCTATCCTTTGCTGTGTGGTGGGAAAGGATGATTTTTAAGGCGTGTATTACATTTGACAAAAGTAGTCATTCCATAAGTGTTTTGTTTTTCATTTCCTAGCATTTTGTCCCTACCACATTGGCCACTTCTCTATTGTTGGGCTAGGCTTTGAAGAATATGTAAGTATTTTCATTTTGTCAGTTAAAAATAAAAATAAAATCTGTTCTTTCATTTCTTGCAAAAATCTAGCATTTAGGAGTGAGAATATCCAGGGTTTTTTCCTACAGCAGTGCGTTTCGAAGAGAGTGCTAGTAGAGTGCTGTTGCCATCTCTTCCAGAATATCAGTGGGAAGGAATAGACATCAGTTTCCATTAATAGAGGAGGGAATTTATGCTTTTCTGAGAATGCTACAGCAGGGTGCACTTTCTGAGAAAGAATATTTTGTTTCTGGATTGATTCTTCCTTTCACGGAGACACATCATCATCCAGTGCTGTTTGCTCCTTAAGTGAAAACCAGAAATTCAGAAATTGCCCCTGCCTAAGTTTTCCATTTGTGCCACAATATTTGGATGATGGTTGGTGGGAATGATGGTTAACAACCTAGCTATTAAGCAAATGCAAAAATATGTGGCACCATACCCTTGAAAATATCATATCCTTCTTGATGCCTATTATTTCTATATCCATTAGAGATGTGTAAAGCAGCTGAAATCCGATTAGAAATTAATTTCAAAGATTCGGATGGCCCCCACATTGTTTCATAAAGATTCAGAAGGGGTTGTGTTGTTTCATAATCCGAATCTCCAAAGCGTTGTAATTGTTTAGTTAAGATTTGCTCTGTTAGTGGCAATAGGGAAAATTTAGAGGCTTGTTTCTCCTTTATTTTTATGGCTATCAGGATGAAAGTTGTAGGTCGTATTTATGATATTAACTCTGCCAAGTTTCAGAATGTTTTGGTCATCCTGTGATTCAGTCACTCTGTGATTTTTTAGGAGTTTCAAAAGGTTTTTACAAATAATTTTTAAAACTACAAGAGGTATCCCCTTGATGTTTTGCACAATGAGACAACATAAGCAGGACATAAATCCTGCTAAGTTTCAGAGAGATTCATTTTTTATAATTAGAATTTTATTAATTTTTATATAGATTACAACAAAAGAGTGAGAACAATAAAGTATAGGAAAGTGAGGAAATAAAGAAAAAAAAGAGAAAAAAGAAGAAACACAAAAATTTACTAAAATCCCAAATAACCCCTAAAAAAAAAAATTCTACAAAAATACACAAAGAACACAAAAAAAAAGAAAAAGAAAAAAATGACTTCCATTCCGTCTTCTTGGATCATATCTTCTTATTATTCAAAAATATAAAATAAGTTCAAAAAGAAATTGTCTCTCTTGTTTCTTATTTTCCCAAATTGTCCAGATATTCATGGAGATTATCCCAATTCGTTCTTCTTAGTATCATACCTATATTTTTCTTCAACAAAAAAGTCAATTCATCCATGTCCTTTAGTTTCAGAGAGATTCATTCATTACTGATTTTTAGGAATTTTTAAAAAAAATTCAATTAAAAGATTTTTTTAAAAAAACTACAGCTTGAAACATTCTGAAACAACAAATGTTTACTAATGTAAATGTTTCAGAGGCTTCCATTTCATTTCATAGTGTTTCAGAGAGAGTCCCCTCCCAATTAGTAATTTGGAGATGTGTATTAACGAATCATAGAAATCTCCATATTATGAAACAGACCTCCAAAGCATTACACATCCCTAATATCCATATTTTTTCTTAATTATCCTGATATATAGGTAAATTCCACACAATTCTCAAATTTAGGGTCACCATTTATTATGTTTAGAGCTAGTCTTGTTGTCATCTGCGCTAAGCATGTACCTGCAAAGTTGATCTTGTTATCCTTAGATTTCCTATCTATCTTGTTTACGTGGCCGTCCATATCTTCTAAATGCCAAAACTTAGAGGCTAGTAAAGTTGGATTATTTGGGCCTAGGCGAGCATTAAAATCTCCTGTAACAATTAGGTCAGATTTTGGAAAGTGTGATTCTAACATTACTATATAATCTTCTAGCTCCTCCCAAGTACAAATTAGCTCTGCCCTTTTGCGGCTGGGAGAAATATATACATTAACCAGGAGTATCTGTGTAGGACCATATTCTATGTGACAAGCCATAGCTATATGGCTGCAGTTGTCGAGTGGTTTAACTTTAGCCCCAAGGGCTGTAGACAGCAGAATGGCTAGGCCTGCTTTCGGTCGCCCTCTACCTTTTTCCACTTTAGCCGGAGAGTCAATTATAGTATCAGTAAAGCAATTTTTGAAATGTGATCTCAAAGCCACCCTGAGCAGGAAACAAATTTTGCTGACTTAGACTAGCTATGGCTTGAGATAGTGTACTCTTCCCCCTTCTGCCTTTACAAACAACAAGGTTTCCAAAGAAAACTTCATTAAAACTGTGCTACCTTCAAGCTGTTGAAGTAAGGGACCTAATCTGGGGCCTCTTCAGAAGATCTAAGCATTTTTGGATTCATTGGATGAAAGTTAAAGTCCCACCTCCAAAATGTCTTGTTTGAGGAGAATAGCTAGTGTTGGCTTCTGGCCCACATACCTTCCTGTCCTAAAAATTGGGCTTTAGGAGGAACTGCCCCCCCCCCCCCATCAGTTGCAGCTCTTCTCTACCCACAGAGTACCCACAGAGGTGCTACTCTTCCTGATTGTATGCCATATCATTCCTGGTATCTTAATTGTAGTTAAATGATCCCGGATGGCAGGCCTACATGATCATATATACTTGTATTGGTTAAGCTGGACAAAGATTCTGTTAATGTGTTAATATATTAATTCTTCACCAATAATCTGTTTAAATGTATTATTGATCTCTGGTAGTTTAATAAGCATGTAATACTCAGATGATAAGTTATTGAAATGCTTCTGTGATTACAATGTTTTGTAAAAAAAACCAAACCCAACAACAATTCTGCATAGTTAGTAGCCATAAAAAGTATTGAATTGTGTCCAGAATATTTTGAACTGTAGGAAATAGTTGCATTATCTTTTGTAACATCTCAGTATATATAATGCTTTATTTATTCTCATAAGGAAAAATAACTGGTTTTTGTCTCAAGGCATGCACAGTGTATGTTTCTGTATTCCTCAGGTTCAAGCATCACACTTTGAAGGCCTAATCACAACAATAGTTGGCTACGTTCTCCTGGCAGTCTCCTTAATTGTGTGCCATGTATCCTTTCCTAAGTGCCCCCCTGCTCATGTATTTAGTATTTAAACATTTGATAGTCGCCGTGAGTACAATGTTCTCAGACTTAGTAAGAATTATTTTTGTCTGTTGGGGAAATCCTGTTGGTGCGGACACATAATGAGAATCTCAATTACATTGGGAATACTGTGGTAGGAAAGCAATCTGAAGGATTTCTCTGTTCAGCTCCTTCATATTATAGAATGAATTCCATCTTCCACTATTTGCCTGAACTGCATTTATTAATTTGACAACAATATTAAACAACAATTAATGATATGCCGTAGAGGCAATCATAGTTAATGATTGCTGCTGCAGATGAAGATGTGGGTGGGAGGCATTATTACAGAGAAATGGGTGGGGATAAGGGTTGTTGTCCTTTGCAATACTGAAAACTAAATTAAAAAGTGCTTGTTTTAGTTCTCTATGCAAAACTGCAAATCTTGACTAAAGAAGGGCTGTTAGCCTTATTCGTAGATAATGTTGGTGTTGATGTAAGGGCAGAAGGAAACTCATTCCAGAAATAAGGAAAAGTCTAAGCATGGAAGGCATGTGTTCCTGGTATGTTCATTGTAGTTAAAATGATCCCTGATGGTAACTCTACATTGATCATATGCATCTGTATTAGTTAAGCTGGGCTTAGATCTCTTTGTCTGGATGGTTAATTGAGCAATAGGTTCCTGTTAGGAAGAGACGTTGTTCTAATATTGTAGAACTTCCTTTTAAAGAAGCATTTAGTTGCAAATCCCATGTGCAGTCATTCACTGATGTAACAAATGTTTTAGTGGTATTTATTATTATTGTGGCATCAAATTGCTGCCAATTTGTAAGCCGTCTTGAGTCGCCTTTGGGCTGAGAAAGGCGGGATAGAAATACTGTAAATAAATAATAAATAAATAACAAAAACAATTTCTAATCATTATATTAGAACATAACCTCCTGTGCTTTATAACCCCATTCTCCTTAAGTGTCCCTCCAGATCTGTTCTTGTGGAGTGTTGCTTAACTTATAACTACATGTTTTGAAGGGTAGATTTGAAAATCTTACATTGTGACAGAATAAGTAGAAAATTCAGAGTATATTATCTCATCCCAATTATGAGCATTATACAGACACTATATATAGTTGCAGTGTTATGAGAATACATGGTTTCCTACTTGAGAATTTCTTGTTGACCAATGCTCTTTTTAATAACTTCTCAACCTTCCCTATCAAGCAGCATTTCATTGACACTTCCTTAACCATTTTATATAGGGCTTGGCTGCACTTGTAAAATTTCAGAGATCTCGTCGCTTGCTTGGAGTATGCTATATAGTTGTCAAGGTATGACACTCTTTAAAAGCAACTACATTACCAGATACAGTAAATGATGTACATTTTTAAAAAAAACCAAATCTATTTTTTTCCTCTGTAGGTGTCATTGTTAGTGGTGGTAGAAATTGGTGTTTTCCCTCTCATCTGTGGCTGGTGGTTGGACATATGTTCTCTGGTAAGACTGATATCTCTTTGAATTAAGATATTTTATGCTACATTTTGAAGTTATGTCTCTAAAATAGAAATGATAGCCTGTTTTTCCAGACATAAGAATGCTGTGACTCTTAGATGTTTATGGTTTAAAAGCCCTTTTAGGTAAAATAAATATTGGCTATATGAGCTGGAAACCTGATTAGATGCATGGAAATGAAAGTTTCTTTCATAGTGCTCTTCAATGAAGGGAAGTTCATTATTATCATTTTTATGTTCACAATTGTGAAGGATGGACAAATGATTATCCATGAATGTGGTGTAAAATCCATTTATCCAATGATATCCTGGTGATTTTTAATATTTTTATTGTAGGAGAACATTTTTTCATCATTTTGCAGTTTTATCCTTTTCTAAATATGAAAGCTGATACACTTGTATTACATGCAGGAAAATAAGCGTTTCCTGTGATCTTCTTCTTAGGAAATGTTTGACGCTACTTTGAAGGACAGAGAGTTGAGTTTCCAATCCGCTCCTGGCACAACGATGTTCCTTCATTGGCTAGTAGGAATGGTGTATGTCTTTTACTTTGCGTCCTTCATCCTTTTGCTGCGAGAGGTAAGCATTTACAAGAGTGTGATTTCCTGAAAACATCTTGTGGGTGTTAAATCAGTAATGATTTTTGCATGTTAAAAATGCAAACCTTTGGAAAGCCGCCTGAATCACCTTCGGGTTTGAGAAAGGCGAGGTAGAAGAAGTTTAAATTAAATTTGACTGTAACTTTTTATTTGACCACTTAGTTTTTCCAGGACACAATGAATTGGGTAAAGTAAAGTCCTGGATTGCAAGACTTCTTTTTTAAAAGTATGTGTTTTGCATTGCATTGCATTGCACTGGGAAAGATCCAAACAGCTGTCTTGCAAATGTATATAAAACATTTTATCTTGCTTGTCAGCAAAATACATTTGACTTGTTGTTGTTCATTCGTTCAGTCGTCTCCGACTCTTCGTGACCTCATGGACCAGCCCACGCCAGA